AAGGTCAGAGTCCATCCCCCCACTCTGAGCTAGAAGGTGCCAATCTTTTTCTTCTTCTTCTTCTTCTTCTTTTTCTAATTCATTACTTTTTTTTCCTTCACATGGGACAGGGCAGTTTTAGGCTTCTCAGACTACATCATCTGTAGCCCCTGCTGAATTCACGTACAGCACAGCGGTGCATGACTTTCTTTCTTTCTCTTATTTTCACTACATTATCATTTTCTGTTCAGCCTCCACCTCCCAGAGCAACGAGACATGTCTAGATTTATAGTTTTCAAACATCTAAACACAGGGAGGCACAGAGAAATCCTCCCCCTCCCCCACAAACACCAGCTAAAAGGGAGAAACTCCTCTTGAGAAACTTGAACAGAAAACTCCTCCTGTGGGAACCACATTGCTAATTACAGCAGAAGAAAGACATTGGCACAGCAGCATTTCACAGCAAAAGGGAAGCAAATAAGTTCACAGATGCATAAATGTTCTCCAAAGAGTTATCCAAAAGTGAATACACCACCAGATGACTGAAAGAAGAGAAGAGCCTCAAGCATGAGAAAACCAGGAGATACATCTCCATCAAGAAAACACAGTAACTTACCTCCACCTTTTGAAAAAAGAGAAGTTACCAAAATGTCAGAAAAAGAATTCAGAACATTCATGGTGATGAAACTCTCTGAGATGGAAGAGAAAAGAGACAACAAACTCCAAGAGAAGAGGAATTTCTTCCAATATTTGAAAGAAGAAATGGACATCATAAAAAAGAATCAAATGGAGATGACGACTGTAATACAGGAAATCAAAAAATTAAGAAATGATTAGACCATGCAGAAAACCAAATCTCTGATATAGAAGACAAAATCTCTGACTTAGAAAAAAAATCACCAAAAAGACTGAAAAAATAACAACGAAAAAAATGAGGCCAATATACACAAAATATTAGACACAATTAAATGTCCAAACATCCAAATAATTGGTATCCCAGAAGATGAAGAAACTAATAAGGGTATTGATAACCTATTCTACCAATTCCTGGAAGAAAACTTTCCACGTTTAGAAAAGCATTCAAACATCCAGATCCAAGAAATACAAAGGACCCCAAATAGAATCAACCCTAAAAGATCCCCTCCATGGCACATCATAGCCAGACAGGCCAAAACCATAAAGACAAGATACTAAAACTGGCAAGAGAGAAACATCAAGATACTTACAAAGATTTTCCCATCCAGCTAACATCAGATCTCTCACAGGAAACAATGCAAGCAAGAAAAGAATGGGAAGATATATTCAAAGTGTTAACAGAGGAACAATTTCAACCAATTAGCTAGACTAAAGAAGAGAGAAAGGAATCAGATAAATCAAATTTACAATGAAATAGGAAATATTACAACAGACACAATTGAAATACGAAACATCACCATAGCATACTATGAGGACTATACACCAGCAAACAAGAAAACTTGCACGAGATGGATAAATTCCTGGGCACATATAGTCTACCAAAATTGAATCAGGAGGACAGATTTAATCAGATTGAATCAGAAAGCCTGAATAGACCCTATAAATAACCTCCAGCAAAGCTTCACTTCTGAATTCTACAAAATTTTAAAGAAGAATTAACCCCCATTCTACTCAAGTTATTTTCAAAGAGCCAAAAGGAAGGAACCCTCCCAAAATTCATTTTATGAAGCCTCCATCACCCTTATCCCCCAAACAGATAAGGACATGATAAGGAAGGAAAACTACAGACCAATATCTCTGATCAATATAGACAGAAAAATTCTCTACAAGAGATTAGCAAATCATTGGGACCAGCAGATGGCATAATGGTTACATCACTAGACTCCCACATAGTCCACTGCGGTTCTAGTCTTGGACCTGGCAGCTTAAAACTCACGCCCTCCGCATGTGTGTGCATGCCCAAGATCCTGAGAAGAGAATGAAGGAGAAGGGATTGTGGTGTGGCCATCCTTCCAGGGGGATGATTTCTTGCTTTCTGTCTCTCTGGTGAGCAACAAACGCCCAACAACATAAAATTTCTCTCGGGGGGATAAAAAAAAGATACTAGCAAATTGTATCCAGCAACATATAAAAAAGATTATACATCATGACTAGGTAGGCTTTATTCTAGGGATACAAAGGTGGTTCAACATATGCAAAACCATAAACACAATATACCATATTAACAGAAAGAAAGATAAAAATCATATGATCATATCAATTGATGCAGAAAAAGCATTTGATAAAGCACAATTGATGCAGAAAAGCGTTTGATAAAATACAATACAATCCTTTCATGATTAAGATTCTCAGCAAAATCAGCATAGAAGAATCATTCCTCAACAAAATAAAAGTTATCTATGAAAAACCCAAAACTAATATCATACTGAATGGGAAAAGCTGAAAACTTTTTCAGCAAAAACTGATTGCTCACATTCTCCATGCCTTTTCAATATAGTACTGGAAGTCTAAGCCAGTGCAATCAGAAAAGAGAATGAAATAAAAGGCATTTAAATAGGAAAAGAAGAGGTGAAATTATCTCTATTTGCAGATAACATAACTGTTTACATAGAAGATCCAAGAGTATTCATGAAAAAACTCCTAGAAGTAATAAATAAATACAATAAACTGGCAGGATACAAAATCAAAATACAAAAATCTATAGCTCTTCTATATACAAACAACAAGCAGACTGAGATAGGACTGAAGAAAGTAATTCAATTTACCATAGCCACAAAAAGTATAAGATACCTAGGGATAAATCTAACCAAAGAAGTTAAAGACCTCCACAAAAGGAAAACTATGAAAAGCTAAAAAAAAAAAAAAAAAAAAAAAAGAAAGAAATCAAAAATCACACCTACACACACACCCAAATGGAAGGACACCCTATGTTCCTGGATCAGAAGAATATAATTAAATTGGCAATTATACCCAAAATAATCTACATAATCCCAATAAAATTACCAGAGACACTCTTCACAGATTTGAAAAAGACACTTAGAGAATTTGTCTGGAATCATAAAAGACCCTATATTGCCAAAGAAATCCTGTGGAAGAAGAGTGGAGTAGGAGGCTTGTCACTCCCTGATCCCAAAATATATTACAAAACCGTGATAATCAAAACAGCATGGTACTGGCACCAAAACAATCATGTGGACCAATGGAACAGAATAGAGACTCCAGAAATAAACCCCAAAAGATGCAGCCAACTGATTTTTGACAAAGGTACTAGTCAATCCAGTGGAAAAGGGAAACCTCTTTAGCAAATGGTGCTGAAAAACCTGGGTATCCACCTGCAGAAAGACAAATCCAGACCCCTATTCTCTCACCATTGACAAAATTCAACTCAAAGTGAATCAGATATCTGAACCTAAAACCTCAAACTATAATACTACTGTTAGAAAACATTAGGTAAACTCTGGGAGCCATTGGGGTAGGCAAAGTACTTATTAAATAAGACCCCTAAAGCACAGGCAATAATCCTAAAAATATATAAGTGGGATTACATCAGATTAAGAAGTTTCTGCACAGCAAAAGACACAGCAATTAGTGTGAATTGACAACCCTTGGCAAAATGGGAAAATATTTTTGTAAACTATGCATCAGAAAAGGGGCTGATAACCAGAATACACAAGAAACTCAAGCAGCTGCCTCAAACATAGATGATCATCACTATTAAAAGATGGGAGAATGAGTTGAAAAAAAAACACTCTCTAAAGGTGACATACAAATAGCCAAAAGATATATGAAAAAATGCTCAATATCCCTCATTGTAAGGGAAATGCAGATCAAAACAACAATGAGATACCACCTCACTCCAGTCAGAATTACTAAGATTAAAAAAAAAAAAAAGATAAGGGCTGGCAGGGCTGTGGTGAAAGAGGACCTCTCATACATTGCTGGTAGGAATGTAATTAGTCCAGCCATTTTGGAGAAAAATATGGGGTTCCTCAAAGATCTACAAATAGAACTACAATATGATCCAGCAGTTCCACTCCCACATATATACCCAAAGGAGAGAATGCTCAGTTGGAAAAGTGCTTGCACATCTATGTTTACTGCAGCATTATTTACAATTGCTAAGATACGGAACCAATCCAAATGTCCATGAACAGATGAATGGATTGAAAAAGTGTGGCACATATACACTATGGGAATAGTACTCAGCCAGAAAAAAACAAGGCCCTGGTATTTGATAGAAAGTGGATGAATATGGAAGATTTAATGCTGAGTGAAGCAAGCCAGGCTATGAAAGAGAGATTGTATGTCTCCACTTAATATATACCAACTGTCTACATTCTATCATGGAAACTGAAAGATTTGAGGATACAGAAGCATGGGAAATAGTTATGGATACTGGATACAGTGTGGGAAGAGGGTGGGAGAAGGGGGAGAGTACAAAGAAAGACTGTAAGGAGAAAAATAGAGAGGTAAGACATTTATGGAACACAGAAATGGATTTTTGGGGGGAGAGGTTTTTGCTATAGGGCGCGTACGCTCGCCAGACAGAGAGAGAGAGACATAGAGACAGAAAGCAAGAAATCACCCCCCGGGGGGATGGTCATGCCGCAATCCCTTCTCCTTCATTCTCCTCTCGGGATCTTGGGCATGCACGCACACGCGCCCGGTGTGAATTTTAAGCCACCGGGTCCAGGACGTGAACTGCAGTCGCCTACATGGGAGTCCAGTGACATAGCCATTACGTTAACTGCGGGTCCCCAGAAATGGATTATTTATGTTGATGATAACATGTCTAGTATCTTCAACTGAACTGGTGTGAAGTGTATTATGCTGAGAGAATTTACTTTACAGGCTAAGTGATGTATAGTGATTGAATTTATAAAAGAAATTAAAAGAAAAGAACATATAAAAGAAAAACATGGAAAAATGTCATGACTTTCCCGACAACCTAACAGAATAGAAGCATAAAGAAGGAGATCAATATGGAAATAATTTCTTCCTAAAAATCATTTTTCATTTCAATGTGCATTTACTATAAACTTTAAAAAAAAAAAAAGACACATTTATTCAGTATCATGACCAGACTACTACATTTAGCAATCAACAGCATGGGTGCAAAAAAAAAAAATCTACATTAAAACCCTTTGTTGGAATGCTTTACACGTTCCACAGAACAGAAACTAAAATAACCTGTTATACAATTAGTCGCAAATACAGTCCTCGTATTTTTTGCCCATACACATGAGTATTGTCTAAAACATGTCTTCTTTGTAGCAGCTAGGCCTTGTCACCACTGTGCTTAGCTGAGTTCACAAATCTGTTGTAACCTGTAGCTTCCCTGTCACTTCTCTGGCTCTCCTCTCCTGCTAAGCTTTGTTTCCTTGCAATTAATTAAAACCTTCTGCCACTGCCATAGCTACTGCTGCTGCTGGAACCGCCACAGCCACCTTAATTTCGTTGTTTGGCAAAGTATTGGCCTCCACCTCCATAAGGGCCAGAGCTTCTACCTCCAAAGTTGCCACCCTTCATGGGTCCAAATTTTGAAGACTGATTGTTGTAATTGCCAAAATCATTGTAGCTTCCACCAGCTCCAAAAGTCCTTCCATCATTACCAAATCCATTATAGCCATCCCCACTTCCACTGTATCCGCCACCACCACAGCTGCCACCAAAGCCACCACAACCACTGAAGTTTCCTCCACGACCAAAGTTGTCATTACCACCAAAACCACCTCCTCGACCACCACCGAAGTTTCCAGAACCACTTCAACCTCTAGGGCTGGAGGAAGCACTAGCCATTTCTTGTTTGGACAGGGCTTTCCTTACTTCACAGTTGTGGCCATTCACAGTATGGTATTTCTGAATGACAATCTTATCCACAGAGTCATGATCAAAAGCAAAGCCCCTCTTCTTGCCACTGCCTCGGTCAGTCATGATTTCAATCACTTCGATTTTACCATACTGTTCAAAATAATCTCTTAGGTGATGTTCTACAGTGTCTTCTTTAATGCCACCAACAAATATCTTTTCCACAGTTAAGTGGGCACCCGTTCTTTGAGAATCTTCTCTTGAGACAGCCCCCTTTGGTTCCACAACTCTTCCATCCACCTTGTGTGGCCTTGCATTCATGGCTGCATCTACCTCCTCCACAGTGGCATATGTGACAAATCCAAAGCCCCTGGAGTGCTTGGTGTTTGGATCTCGCATTACCATGCAGTCTGTGAGCGTTCCCCATTGCTCAAAATGGCTCCTCAGGCTCTCATCGGTTGTTTCAAAGCTCAGCCCTCCGATAAAGAGTTTCCACAGCTGTTCCGGCTCTTTGCGAGACTCGGACTTAGAAATGACGGCAGTGAGAAGAGAGAGCTCAATGATGCTTCCCCGCCGGCGTCCACAGGCAGAAAGGAGTAATCTAACGAAGTATCTCTAAACTTTTAAATAATGATAATGAAAACAATACAGTTCTTTCCCTCAAGCAATGTGTCAAGATGTGGGCATGTATTAATACTCTTTCTACTTAAAACTTCATAAACTATCAGAAAATTTCTTTATAATAGAATAAAACTATATGATCACAGAAAAACAACAACAAAATGCATGTTATCAGCACTCAAGATCACCAATATTCAAAAAGTGGAACTGGTTTTCACCTCTTCAGGTTATAAACAAGAAATCAACAGAAAAATATAAATAAGAAACCAGGGAAAAAGCATACAAATGGCCATTAAACATATACAATGCTCCTCCTCTCTGGTAATCAGAGAAATATAAATTAAAATACTAAGATATTTTTATTTAGCAGGAAAGCAAAATATCAAAAAACAGTAATGAAGGTTCAACAAGGTTTTCAGAAAAAAGGGACTCTATTATACTGTCGGTGAGAGAGTAAATTGTCAGGTTTTCTTTTTTGCTACGGAGGACTTCCACTTACTAGCAAGAAACAGAGAGGGAGGGGAGGGAGAGAAAATGATAAATCACTCCCCAGGGGGAATGGCCATGTGTAGTCCCTTCTCTTCCTTTATCCTCTAGGGATTTTGGGCATGCATACAAACGCCTAGCATGATTTTCAAGCTTCCAGGCCTGGGACCCAAACTGCGCAGTGAGCCATATAGAATCCAATGCCTTAAACTCTATGCCACCTGCTGGTCCTGAAAGTCTTTTTAAATACCAAAATACTAAAAGTGTATATACTGTTTCCCATTTTTACTTCTAGGACATCAACCTGAAGGATATATTTGTCCACATATGCTCATGGGTACTCAGTGTGGTATCTCCTTAAAATCTAAGGAAATAATGTAAATGCCCAATGATGATGGAATAGTAAAGTGAATTATTCCTCATCCAGGCTAGGAAATAACCTCACAGAATAGAAAAGTACCATAGAGTCTTCTACACACACACACACACACAAAAACACTGATAAGTGAAAAAAGCAATTAAATTAGATCATATCCTCAAAAATCTTACCTTCTTTAAGTATTTATCATCAGACTGTAATACTCATGAGCCCTCTTTATCATTTCCCCTCCCCTCTTTCACTAAAAATCTCAGCAATTGAATTTCAATCTCTCCAGATACTCCAGTGATCATTCTGAAAAAATTCACCATTGGCATATACTCTCAGTTCCTTCACCTCCTCCTTAAATAAATCTTAGCCTCCATCTGATTTCTGTTATGTATTCCCATAGTCATACCCCACACCTTGCAAGGTCCAATAACTAAACCACCTTCCAAAGCTCACATTTAAGTCTCACACTTTCAGACAACCCTTTTTAGCTTTCCAGTTTTTTTGGTATGCTGGAAACTATTTCTACCATTCTTCTTCAAATCACAGCTTCCAGTCCATTTTTTTTCTCTTCACTGTCCATCATGCCCCTTATGTCCTCAATTTCCTCCTTAAATAACCTAGACCCATGGTCCAAAACTACAGTAATTTCACATATACACCTTCAAGTTCACTGCATCTCTCCTTCTGCCATACTTCTGGCAAAACCTCAATCCTGGTTAAGCCCAACACATTTCTTACTTCTATATTGCCCTAAGTGGTCTTATCTTCGATGGCCCACAAGGCAGAGACTGCTAGTTGCCTACTCAATATCCATTTTTCTTCCCTTGCTAAGAGAATCCTAATTTAACTCAGGAAATTAATGTATTTAACTACAACACTATGCCTCCCAGCCTCCCTCGCAGCTAGAGGGAGTCTATGACACTGGACTATAAAATGTAGGTAAAGTAACAGGTGGGAGGTCTTTGGGGAAGGTGCTTTAAAGGAACCCAGTTCAGCTGGCATACGCCCTTTTCCCTGGATGTGATTCTAAGAGAAGGAACAGCCACCTCACACCACAAAGGAGACAGGCACACTTGACATCTAAACCAAAAACAAAAGAAGCCTGATCCCTGATGTCACCAAGTTGCCCTATCAGTCCTGAACTGCCTACTTGCAGATTTTTTATTACCTAACAAAAATAAAACTTCTAATGTGTTCTGTTTTTTAGATAAATTATATCGTACATATTTAAGATATACAACCTGATGTTACAAAATACATATAATTAGTAAAATGGTTAGTACAGTGAAACAAACTAACATATCCTTCATCTCACAGTTACCCATCTGTTAGGTTTGTTTTATTTCTGGCAAGCGCAGTTGAAATTCATTTAGCAGGAATCTCAAATACCTAATTTGTTTTATTCATTATTTTGAGGTCTCTGCTATTCCTAACTCCTAGGCCCAAAATAGTTTATTCCTCACAGAGCAACCAGAGACCTTCTAAATAATAAAATATACTAAATAAAAAGTATGGGGCCGGCAGGTGGTATGGTGGTTGAGGCACTGGATTCCCACATGGCTGACCATGGTTCAAGTCCTGGTGGCTTGTTTTCTCATGTTCTGTTTTTCTCTCTGTCTCTCTCCAGTAAAATTTAAAAATAATAACAACAAATAAAATTTTTAAAAATAGGGACCAGCAGATGATGTAATGGCTATGTCGCTGGACTCCCATGTAATCGACTGCGGTTCCAGCCCCAGACACAGTGGTTTAAACTCACGCTGGGCACGTGTGCGTGCGTGCCCAAGATCTGGAGAGGAGAATGGAGGAGAAGGGATTGCAGCATGGCCATCTCCCCCTGGGGGAGTGATTTCTCGCTTTCTGTCTCTCTGTCTTTCTGGATAGCATATGTGCCCTATAGCAGAAACCTCTCTAAATAAATAAATGTTTAAAATAAATTAAGTCTTTATAAAAAAAAAAAGTATTATTAGTGGTATGTCACACATTAAAGCAGGAGTAATGGGTTGTATGGAACTAACTTTCGCCTACCATTCCTTGTTCAAGTAGAAACTTTTAAAGATATTCCTTCCCTAGGGAGTCATATAGATGATTTTTAATTTATTATACTTTGCTTTGTTTTAGAAAATAAATATTTTTAAAAACATTTTGGGCCAGCAGGTGGCATAGTAGTTAAGGTGCTGGACTCCCACATTGCTGACCATGGTTGGAGTCCCAAACCAGGCAGCTTAAAATTTACACCAGGCACATGTGTGTGCTTGCCCAAAATCCCAAGAATAGAATGGAGGATAAGGGACTGCAGTGTGGCCATCCGCTCTGGGGCGGGGGAGAGTGGGGAGTGATTTCTTACTTTCTCTCTCTGAGTCTCTGGCAAGTGCACTCTCCTTATAGCAAAAATCTCTAAAAGGAAAAGAAAAAAGATATATCTTTTTCTTCATCCAGTTCTCAACCCAAATGTTCCTTTTAATTATTTATAAATTAATTCAAGCATATTTTATGCCATATAACCCATCTATTTCAAGTGTTTAATTCGATCATTTTCAGTAAATTCACAGTTATAAAACATACTACAAATCAGTTTTTAAAATCTTTATCACTCCAATAAAATCTTTCATGTTTATTCACTATGAATCGCTGTTCCTACCTCCTACTCCAATCGACCACTGATCTATTGTCTGCCTCTATATATTTGTCTATTCTGGACATTTTCTATAAGTAAAATCATGTGATATATGGTCCTATAGCTGGCTTCTTCCACTTAGCATCTATTTTTTACTTTTTTTTTTTTTTTGGGGAGAGATTTTTGCTATAGGGCGCATGCGCTCGCCAGACAGAGAGAGACAGAGAGACAGAAAACGAGAAATCACCCCCCAGGGGGGATGGTCACACCGCAATCCCTTCTCCTCCATTCTCCTCTCGGGATCTTGGGCACGCACGCACACATGCCCGGCGTGAGTTTTAAGCCACCAGGTCCGGGACGCAAACCGCGGTCAACTACGTGGGAGTCCAGAGACACAGCCATTACGCTAACTGCTGGTTCCCGACTTAGCATCTTTTTTGAGACTCATTCACGTGGTAGAATGTATCACATCATTTCATCTTTTTCTTTTTTTTTAGGCTTTTGCCATAGGGCACATGTGTTCATGAGAGAGACCGACAGAGAGGGAAATGAGAAATCACCCCCAGAGGGAGGGCCATACCACAGTCCCTTGTCCTCCATTATCCTCTTGGGATTTGGGGCATGCATGCACACACACCCAGAGTGTTTTTCAAGCCACAGGGTCCAGGACTCACTGCAGTTGGCCATATGGGAGTCCAGCACCTCCGGCACACCACCTGCTGGCCCCACATAATTTTTTTCTTGCTGAATAGTACTCCATGGCAGGAATATGCCAGATTAGTGCCTTCCAATTTTATGATCTGAGAATTTCCATTACCTAGGTTGTACAATGGATATAGGATAACTTGGGTACTTGTGTTGGGGGATAAAGACTTGTAGCTAACTTTTACTTAGCCCAAATAACATAGATAAGTGTTTCTCAAATCAAATTCAGTTTATACAGAAAGAGACTAGCTTCACTCAACACCATTGTGCCATCAACCTTTTTTTTGAGAGGTTTTTGCTATAGGGCACATGCACTCGCCAGACAGACAGAGAGAGACAGAGAGATAGAAAGCGAGAAACCGCCTCCCTGGGGGCGGGTGGCCATGCCGCAATCCCTTCTCCTCCATTCTCCTCTCAGGATCTTGGGCATGCACACACACGCGCCTGGCCTGAGTTTAAGCCACCAGGTCCAGGACTCGAACTGCGGTCGACTACATGGGAGTCCAGCAACATAGCCATTACACTAACTGCTGGTCTCCCTTTTTTAAAACTACTATTGTGGGTCATTAAGTGACATGGTAGTTAAGGCAGTTAGAGCCCTCATGCCTAACTGTTAGGTCTGAGTCTCAGACCCAGTGGCTTGAAAAATCACTCTGGGTATGTGTACATGCATGCCTAAAAATCTCAAAGGAAGAATGGAAGAGAAAGGATTGTGTCGTGGTCATCCCCACCGCAGGTAGTGATTTCTCTTTTTCTTTCTTTTTCTCTCTGTGTCTCTTCTTTCTCTCCAGTGAGTGCATATGCCCTATAGCAAAACTAACTAACTAAACAAGAAAACCACTGTTGTGCTCCTCCTTCCTAAAAGGAAGTTCCTTAAATTCTCCCAGGGCTACAAAAACCTCTACTCTTACTATGCCTTCTTTGTCTACCTCTAACTCTTCACTTTTTTGATTTAAGATCATCTTCAAACTGATAGCTTTAACATTTCCATAGTAACAAAGTTTCTTAAAAGGTATATTGGAAATAAGTATCTGCATATTTTAGAATTTTATTTAAGAGAATTGTGTAGTTCTTTTGATATAGTCCCTGAAAATAATTTTTTGATATGTAGAAAAAAGGCTTTCTAAGTAATTAATTTTTTAAAAAGTAATTTTAAAAATTTTACTTATCATTAAAAATTTTCAATTTGCTACAGGGCATGTGTGCTCACCAGAGAGAGAGAGAAAGTAAGAGAGCAAGCTGCTAGGTCTAGACCTTGAACTGTAGTTGGCCACGTGCGAGTCTAGTGTCTTAACCAACATTCTACCTGCTGGCCTGCTTTGTAAGTAATTTAAAAAGAAAGATAACCTCACGACAGTAATACAAAAGAAACATGAGGATTCAATTCAACATCTAACATATTCATTTAAAAGAGAAAGCCAGGGCTGGCATGTAGGTGGTTGGACTCCCACATGGCTGACTATGGTTCAAGTTCCAGACCTGGCAGCTTGCTTTCTCACTTTCCTTCTCTCTTTCTGTCTCTCTCTGGTCAACTTAAAATAAAAAAAATAATAATAATGACAATGAATAAAATTAAATACAATAATTCTTTAATTAAAAAAGGAGAGAAAGCCAATGAATATATAGTAATTAAGCAGTTTTCTTTTTTCTTTTTTCTTTAATAACTTATTAAATACTGGTTTTTCTTTCAGTATAAAATGCCACAATAATATTATTGTCTCACCTGTTTTGTGATGATGCCTGATTCAGATTAAGTGGATAGCTTACCTTTATAAAATATTAACTATCTGCATGTAGAAAGATGACTTCATCAGTTATAAAGGTGGGTAAAGGGTGGTACCCCAGGATGAGAGCTGGACACAAATCCAGCAACACACTTATTACCACCCTTTTTGAAATCTTAATTCTATAGGTAATTCCAGACAATCAGTTTGAAAATGCCAAGAATAAGGTGATATGGGCACAGCTAAAAGCTTTCCTAATGGTAAATGTTTTCTAACTAGGAAATTACTCTATCATTATCCCTTACTCGCCTCTATTACAGTCTTCTGGAATACTTACAAAGTGAAAGTGATAAAAGATAACACCAGCTACTGTAATTAGAGGACCCTTTCAAGATGAAGAAAGAGAATACCACCATTTATTAGTAAGGGCACTTGTTAAAGGTGCTAAGAATACCCCCATTGGTGGCCAGTTTTGCTGCAGGTATGACAGGCCCTGTGAGCTACATCTTCGTCTTTGAAAGGACAACCAAAAAGGGGCTCTTAGTTAAGATTTACTCTACTTCCATTACAGCTCCAAATCCAATACAACTGGTATAAGGTAGTATGAAGAAAGATAGGCTATACATGTAAATGTTTTAAAATCCCAGGAAATCAAAACTCCTAAGCATTCTTTAATGTCATTATCCCACTGACTTTTAACAAATTAATGTCATAAGAGTATATATACTGTACCTTTCTCAGGCTTTCATATTCCTCACGAAGTTCCCCAGGCTTGCTTAATTTGATTGGTGCTCTGAATATAAACTCTGGAGAAAAGGGAAAAGAAAATATTTTTTAACAGGACTCCCTAGGAAAGAACCAAGACCTTATCCTACTGCTGCACCCACATTATAAATCACATTTAAAAACTGTGGTTAGGTCCAGTGATAGTAGAATATACTGACCTTTTTTTTTAATTGCCAGAGAGTACATACACTTGCCAGAGGAACAGTGAGAGGGAGGGAGAAGGAGAAAGCACTCCTAGTGGGGTATGGTCATGTCACAATCTGTTCTCCATTTCTCCTGTCTGGATTTCGGGTGCACACACATGCACCCAGAGTGTTTTTCAAGATGCCAGGATTGGGATTCAAGGTTGACCACATAGGATCTAGCTTTCTTAACCACTAGACTATGGGGCTGGCCCAGAACACACTGAATAACTTTGCTGTATGGCAGAATGAACCCACACAAAAGATCTAGGTTCAATTCCCTGCCTATCATAAAAGCGAGGTACAGTGGCATGTGCCTTTGATACCAGCTACTCAGGATGCTGAGGCAGTAGGATCACAACATAACAAGATCCTATTTAAGAAAAAAAAAAGTCATCTTAATTTGACTGTACATTTATTTAACAAATATGTATTAAAGATTATTTGGTACTGTTCTAAGTACTGGGGAGAAGCACTGTACAAATAAAGTACTTCTCTTGGGGAGCAGGTAGTGTTAAGTGCTATGGAGGAAAATAAATGCTGGGTAGAAGAAAAAGGTTATTTATATAGGGTAGTCTGGAAGGGGCTCACTGATAATTAAAAAATCAACAGACCTCAAGGAAAAACTACATTCAAAGCACTTAGTTAAATGTTACTAAGTAACATTTTAAATGTACCAAAATTTTATTAATAATGCTGCATCCTTCTATTTTTTACTTAACACTGCCAAAGTATTTATCTTATATATAATTTTTTTTAGAGAGATTTTTGCTATAGAGTGCATGTACTTGCCAAATAGACAGAGAGACAGAAAACGAGAAATCACCACCCTAGGGGATGGCCACACTGCAATCCCTTCTCCATTCTCCTCTTGGGATTTTGGGCATGCACAGACACACACCCAACATGAGTTTTAAACCATCAGGTCCGGAACTCAAGCTGAGGTCGATGACATGGGAGTCAGTAATATAACCATTATGCCGTAGGCTGGTCCTCTGTCTTATATATAATCTTTATATATTTTCAGTATATAATCTGATTTTTTAATCCTCAAAGCCTTCAGTGGTTATGACTGGACTATAGAAAGAAGTCACAACTTTAGGGGCCAGCTCCTTGGTGCAATGGTAATGGCGCTGCTCAAAAGAAGATGGATCCATATGGAGACCGCAATTCAAATCCCTAGTCCTGTTATCCTGAAACATGCTAGGTACACACTCAAGTGCCCCAGATACTATGGGTTGGAGGACTGGAGGACTGGAGGAAGGGAATCGCAGGATGACCAGACCTTGTGGAAGGTGCTCCTCTCTCTCTCCCCCCAACACTCTCACACATGCATGCACACACTCTACCATGAATTAGAAATATGTATTCTTAAAGTTTTTTAACATGCCACTCAAGGTTCTCCAGAGACTGATCACACCTTGATCTGTCTACTCTCTCTCAATTCTTGACTGTTTTGTGTGTATGTGTGTGTGTGTACATTTAAAAAAATCAAAGAATAGGAATAAAAGACTAAATGCTATCAATAAAAGGAAAGTACATATTTCTTCCTCCTCAAATGTACATGAAATTTCTTTATATCCTCTATGTATATTTAGTGGTCTAAATATAGTATTAATTTTAAGATGTACTAATAAGCCTATATCTCACTGAGGTTGATAAATATTTCTCCTAGAAAAGCAAGCCCCACAAAAAGTTTTGCCTTTTGTCCTTTTTCTATTGTCTGAACTATTTTAGAAAGATTATTATTTAATATATCTGAGGTACATAGAAGAAACAGCTAGAAACATTAGACTGAATGCTGACGCAGAAAACTACCTTGAAGCTCTGCAAAGTACTAGAGCAATATTAGACCCTTGGATTAAGAATAAACATTCCATTCCCTTCTCCTACTTAAAAAGTACTGATGACTATATTTCAGCCATATCCCTTAAGCACACTTGCAGTTATAGGCAAATAGTATTTAAAATTAGATGCTTTCAAAGAGAAGGGGAAGGAAAGAGGAAAAAGCAAAACCCTTGAGGCAAAAAGTACTTTTACAGGAAATCTATTACATGTCAGATACTTACTATGTATTTTCTCAATGAGTTTTCCCAGCAACTTATAAGGTAAGTATTATACCCATTTTATAATAAGGAAACTGAGGGGTTAAATGGCTTTGCCCAAGGCCACAGAGCTAGTGCATGGCAAAGGCAGGAAAAAAGCATTAATAGGAAGAAGAAAATTACATAATGATTAAGGGCAATAAGCAAAGTTGAGCCCAATCTCTCTCTCCTACTACAAAATCCCACTATAGTAGCCTCTGTGGAATAAAGTCTTCATCACTATGTCCATTAAAAAAAAAAAGGCAACCTATGGAGAAGATATAACAATCATTTGTTTGAACCTACAAAACTAGTAAGATTATAAGGACAAATTAATACAAAATTATGATAAAGAAATTTAATATACTACAATTAAAGGCAGGTAGATCAGGCAGGCTAAAAAGCAGGAAAACTTAAACAATAAAATTAACTAACTTGGGGCCTGCAGGTGGTGTAGTGGTTCAGAGTCCTGGACCCAGCAGCTTGAAACTTAAGATGGGCACTTGTACATGAGTGCCACAGATCACGAGAGGACAATGGAGGAGAAGCGATTACAGTATGGCCATCACCCCAGAGGGGTGATTTCTTACTTTCTCTCTCTCTGTCTGTCTCTCTGGTGAGCACACATGCCCTATAGCAAAAATTTCTCAAAAAAAATTTTAACAAACTTGATCATATATATTTATAATCTTACTAGTTTTGCAGGTTCATCTAATATATATATATACATATATATGTATATGTATATATATATGTATATGTATATATATGTAAATAAATACCCAATGAACAGAAAATATATTCCTTAAATAAGAAACAATTAAAACAATGCTCATAGGCCAGCATGGTGGCACTGCAACATTACACAATGTTAAAGCCACATGGTAGGTCTTGGGTTTATGTCCCAAAGTCTTCCTGTACACATTGGACACCAGTGTGTATGCCCATGATCCTCGCTGGCTGAGCTGGGGGTGGATCACAGCATGAGGATCTTGCTGGCAGTTCACTTCTCTCTCAAGAAATAAACATAGTATAAAAATTATAAACATCCATGCTATACTAGGTATACTTATGTTCAAAATTTTCAAAGAGTTCATATTATATAGACTTTGCTTTTTGATCCTGGCTGTTATTCCGACCCTAGTTTTCTAGAATCATCACCTGCATGGTAATTCTGAATAACCTAGTTTTCTTTCTCAATAAATTACTTTTCTGCCAGAGCAGATTTCTGCTGATTGAAACTAACAATCCTGGCTGATTCAATTTTTCTGCATGGAACTTCAAAATGGCTAATAAACCACTCCCTAGTAAAATTGATTAAGAAAAAAAGAGAACACAAAACAATGCTAAGAATAAAAAGGAAGACCTGACTAGAGATATCCAGGTGAGATCAAATTTCCAAAGACTGTTAAACAGTGCTACAATGTATGATTGTGCATAAATTATTTTGTATGTGTTCAAGTATAAAATTCTGGAATTGAAATCACTGGGTCAAAAGATATATGCTTTAAAAAAAAAAAAGATATATGCTTTTTAACAGATGATATAAAATTGCACTTCCTTCATGAAGCCTATGTCAATTTACATTCCTACCAGCAATACCCCCAGAGTACTATTTCCTCAAACCTTTTCCAACTCAATGAGTGCTGAAACTTTAGCTTGGTCAATGTGGTAAGTAAAATTGTGTATCTTTTTTTTTTCTTCTTTAAACAAGATAGGGAATTTTTTATATTTTTTTTTAACGTTTTGAAAGATGCTGGGTTTTTTTGAGAGGTTTCTGCTATAGGGCACATGCACTCATCAGAAAGACAGGGAGAGATAGAAATAAAGTGAAAAATCACCCCCCAGGGGGATGGCCACGCCACAATCCCTTCTCCTCCATTTTCCTCGGGATCTTGGGCATGCACTCACACATGCCTGGCATGAATTTAAGCCACTGGGCCCAGGACTTGAACCACGGTCAACTACGTGGAAGTCGAGCGACATAGCCATTACACCAACTGCTGGTCCCAATAGGAACATTTTTTAAATTATTTATTTTATTTATTTATTATTACTATTTTTAAATTTTCTAATGGGCACATGCTTTCACCAGAGAGAGATGAGAGAAACTGAGAGAGAAAGCAAGCTGCCAGCTTGAACCATGGTTGGCCATGTGGGAGTCCAACACGTCAATCATCACACCATCTGCTGGCCCTGAAATTGTGTATCTTACATACTTATTTCATAAGTGAAAATGAGTACTATTCACATGTTTAAGAGTAATTTGCATTTTCTTTGCCATGAAACATATGTGCATTTCCTTTATTCTTCCTCCTACTGAACTAACTTTTTCTTAATTTGTTAAAGTTCTCCCTACAAAGGAAAATTAGCCCTATGTCACGTGAATAGCAATACTTTTCTCAATTTACACTATGCTTTGTGCATACAGTGGTCATTTTTATGCAGCTATATTAATCAAACTTTTCTTTCTTGGCTTCTGCAGTTTATATCATATTTGATAAGGTTCACTTCAAGCCAAGATATAACAAATTCTACCATAGTTTCAGTACAAAGAACAGGATTCTTCTCAGATCTTTTTAAAATTCTACATCTTCTTTTTTTTTGAGAGATTTTTTTCCCTATAGGGTGCATGCGCTCGCCAGACAGACAGAGAGAGACATAGAGACAGAAAGCGAGAAATCACCCCCCAGGGGAGATGGTCACGCCGCAATCCTTTCTCCTCCATTCTCCTCCCAGGATCTTGGGCCCACACGCCACCCCCCCAGTGTGAGTTTTAAGCCACCGGGTCCGGGACGCGAACCGGTCGACTACGCGGGAGTCCAGCGACATGGCCATTACGCTAACTGCTGGTCCCCCTAAATCTTTATTTCTATTTGGGGAACAACATAAGGAACATAATCTTATTCAAGTTTACAAATAAATCTACTATACAACACAAGATAACAAAAATAATTTAGTGATAGCAAGGTAGAAACGGTCATTTTTACTTACTGCTGGAGAACTTGCTTTCTCTAAAATGGTTCTTTCTGACTTTTCATACAAAACATCTCTAGAGCTTAATATCTTTATCTTTTACATAGTGTAAATAATATAAAGTTAAAAGCTTGGTCTCCAAAGATGCTTCAGAGCCTCAGATAAGTCAGCCTCAACTTCCCCTCTATAAAATCAGAATAATACCTATTACAATGGGCTATTATGAGGATCAAATGAGTGAAATGAAAGTAAAAATATTTTGTAAACGATTTCAGCCAGTAAAATGAACAGGTGGCAGAATTTAGTAAGTGGAAAATGGTTTCTGGTATTGGTGGAATAACACTCCTAAAAATGCAGCTTAGGTGCCCAGGATCCTGACAGGATGTAGAAATGGAGAGAGAAAGGACTGCATCTTGACTAGGCCCTGTTAGGAGGTGTTCTCCCCCCCTTTCTGTGTGTGTGTGTGTGTGTGTGTGTGTGTGTGTGTGTGCATGTATGCCTCTGACTGGGGCCCAGTTGCAATGGGGCAGGTAGGGCATTGTTCTGCCATGCTGGAGCCACATGAGAGGCCAGTCTACCTGAACACACTGTCCCACAATCCTCACTAGCTGGAAGGGTAGGTAGGGTGGGACTACCATGTGGTGTCTCACTGCAGAAAGTAACTGTCTCTGTCATTGTTTCTCTCCCCCATCCTCTCACATGAAAGAAAGAAAAATGTTCAGTTCTATTTATTTGTAAGTACAACTCATAGGAATAATATAATGATCCAATGGTTTGATATTTATTCTACATGAAGTTAAACTCACTTTAGATCTTTGGCAAGAAATCTCGAAGTTCATATATTAATATCAGGCCAAGTAGGAACTCAGAAAACTGCCTGAAATCTTCCTATGCCTTTGACTTATCTGAGAGCAAAATATAATGTGCAGGGGTGGAGGTGGGATACCAATTTATTTTCATCAAAATCAATACTGATGTAAATCAGCTTAATCTTGGATTAAGATGAATGATTTGGGGACAGCTGATGGCATAATGGTTATGTCACTGGACTCCCATGTAGTCGACCAGGATTGGCAGTGGACCTGGCAGCTTACAACTCAGACCGGTGTGTGCGTGCCCGAAATCCAAAGAGGAGAATGGAAGAAAAGAGACTGTAGTGTAGCCATCGCCTCTGAGGGATGATTTCTCACTTTCTGTCTCTATGGTGAACGCACATGCCCTGTAGCAAAAGTCTCTCTCTAAAGAAAAAAAAAAAAGATTAATAATGTTTAAGGCTTTAAGAATACGAAATGCAGGCCAACAGGGGTGGTGAGGAGGTTAAGGCACTAGACCCCACATAGCTGATGGCACAGTGCAAGTCTTGCACACGTTGGCTTGAAAATCACACTGGCATATCGTGCATGTGTGCATGATAGGAGGAGGAGGATGGAAGAGATGGTCATCCCCTTAGGTGGTGATTTCTGGTGAGTGCCCTATAACAAAACTTTAAAAAAAAAAAATACAAAATGCTAAAGATTACTTTTTGCCCCAATAGGGCTATGCTACATTAAATGACATCATGCCCAAAAACTTAAAAATTATAGATAGCTTAAAGCACTTTTTTTTTTTAAGTTTCGCTATAGTGTGCATGTACTCAAAGCAGGAGCTAGTGGGGTGGGGAGAGAAAGTGAGAAATCCCACCCTGGAGAGGGGAAATCACCCCTTGACACCTCCCCCCCAGGGGAGGGGTCACCACAATCTTTTCTCTTCTATTCTTCTTTCAGGATTTTGGGCATGCATGCACATGTACCCAGCATGATTTTCAAGCCACTGGCTTCAAAACTCAAACTACACAGTTAGTCATGTGGGACCCAGCCACCTTTACCTACATCCCACCTGCTGGACCAAAGCACTTCTTAAATACCAAAACAATTAAGCATAAAAAGTTGTGAACTGGTCCAATGTGACGTTAATTAAATATTTAATCCTATTTTCTATTTTAGGAATGTCCTCTAGAAGTGCCAAAAGAGAAAAAAAAAGTTATTTTCCCCCTGTGGGCTGGCAGAAAGAGCAGTAACATCAGGTTCAGATATCTGCAATGTTAATTAAGTGAGACTATTTAGAAATGTAAAAGCTTCTGTCTTGTGTCTTCAACTAGCAAATGGGGATCAAAATACTGGCAACCTACTTCACAGGAATGCAAACCACAATTAGAAGCAAGTAGTAGTAATCAATGATGAATCCCTATAATAAATAAATAAAAGCAGCTAACATTTTATAAGGGCGCACTACATGCTAAATGTGTACACACATGCTCATGTATATGCAGGCACATGCATGAATATAGACACACACTAAAGGAAAGAGCTAACACAGCAGGTGCAAATGCCTAATCTTTTTTTTTTTTTTTTTAAGGTTTTTGTCATAGGGTATGTAAGAGGAAAGAGAGAGGGAAAGAAAAATGACCCTGCCGGGGCAATGGCTACTACACCACAGTCCCTTCTACTCCATTCTCTTCTTGTTATTTTGGGCACACACGAATGCATACCCATCATGTTTTCCAAGCTGCAGGTCCAGGACCTGAACTGCACAGTAGCCATACGGAATACAATTGCCATGATCTACATGCTACCTACTTGCCCCAATTCTTTCTGTCTTACACGGGGAAAGAGAGAGAGAGTGAAGGAGAACCCCCACGACCCTTCAAACTCATTATACCATCACTGTATTACTCTAGCATGCTAGATGTCACACCTAGCAGTGCCATAAGTATTGATCGTCTCCATGGTTACAACCAGAAATGATCACATGAGAAAAAGGAGACAGGTCTGGAAATTCCAGGAAATTTCCACCTTTTTTATGGAAACTTCTAAATATTTTTCCCCTCTGTTATATTAACATTACTTCATTTGCTATATCTTAAACTCCTTAGCTCAAAATTAATAAGAAGGTGATTCGTGAACCAATTTGCTAACTGGGCACTGCGTCTCCATTCCTTGGTCATCAAATAAATAAAGTCTGTGCTATGACACTCAGTTTTGGTTGCAACACGAAATGACAAAAGATCTCATACCTTTGGAAATAAATTAAAACTGATAACACCTTTCCCCTCTGCTGATCTACTCTCTATTCTTTCACTGTAATAAATCATATCTATGCATACAACTATGTGCTGAGTCTTATAGGTCTTCCTAGCAAATCATTAAAATGAAGCGGTTTACGTGATCTTCCAGCACACACATACATGTCATGGATGGACTAAAATTTTTTTAGACCAGGGCCAGCAGGTGGCATGGTGGTAAACGCACTTAACACCCACCAGGCTGCCAGCAGTTTGAGTTCTGGACCAGAGAGCTTGCTTTCTTGCTTTCCTTCTCTCTCTCTCTCTATCTCTGTGTCTCTCTCTAGTGAGCACATGTGCCGTATAGCAAGTTAAACAATAATAAATAATATTACATAAAATTTTTTTAAAAACTTTAGATCTTGGTTACTACTTGAGAAATGAAGGTAACACACTAGATAACTTTAAAGTTAATGATTCAGTAACTACTTTCATTTCGCTTTTATTTCCTACTCAATGTCCCTTTAAATTCTGAAAAACTCCATTAAAGTTTAATACAAGGGTAAAATGCTATCAGGATTCTAAACTTAAGTAAGAGTAGCTATAACATATAAATCATTTTTGGAGCCTCATAAAATGTAGTGTTTCAATTCACATGGACTACTATGAGAAATGGACTGGAAAAATGTTAAAGCTGAAGAACATGTATATGGTAATATTAATTATACTAAGGCAATTATTAACCTTTTAGGTTCTCCTATTTTTAATAAGGAAAGAACAATTATAATAAAAAGTTTGGATCTGCTGTTGTGGTACTTTACTTTTCTTAATTTTTTTCTATTTCCCTCAGCTTCCTAGGATCATAGATCAGTATCCTCTACTCCAACAAAGGGAACTGTGGTTAACATGCAAGCAAAACTGCCATAGAAGCAGAGCAAGAAGATTCCAAGTCAGAACCAGAGAAGGTAAATACCACCTCCTTAATCCAAAGGAGTTAGTCACAAATCTACGAGGCACATGACCAGCTTTATTAAAAAGATTTTCAAGTACTTCATAACATAGACACAACCATTGACCCACCCTTTCTTTCCTTCCTTCACCTCACAGAAAAGAAATGTTAAACTACTTTGGATGTTACTGAAATGTTGAATATCTTAATATTTGTTAAAGAATTCTAGGGACCAGCAGTTAGCATAATGGCTATGTCACTGAACTCCCACGTAGTCAACCATGGTTCGAATCCCAGACCCGGTGGCTTAAACTCACGCCGGGCGCATGTGCATGTGTGCCCAAGATCCTGAGAAGAGAATGGAGGAGAAGGGATTGCGGCGTGGCTATGCCCCCTGCGGGATGATTTCTCGCTTTCTGTCTCTGTCTCTCTCTGTCTTTCTGGCGAGCGCACGTGCCCTATAGCAAAAGCCTCTCCAAAAAAAAATATGGTTGACATACTTAATGCCTATCCTATGACTACTAGTACTATACCAGGAAGTGAAACTCTTTGTGGGTATGATGCCTTAAGATGACACACACCTGTGGCCAGTGACCTCAGCTGAATACTGCATTCAGTCTAATGTGAATTGTAAGAACAGCTACACTTCCCTGAAGGCTCTTCTTGAAAAAGGATTTTTTTCTGGGGCAGGGTGACTGGTTATTAACAAAAGCAAACAAACAAAAACTACAAGACAGGCATTTTGCTAACTGTATCAAACCACTAAGAAAGAAGTGTCATTGTCAAAGCATCCATACTCTGCAAGATTAAATAAAGAAACTTCCTCAAGGGTCAGCCAGTGGTGTGGTGGTTAGGGCAGCTGGATTTCACATGCTCAACTGGCAGTTTTGAGTGCCAGACCCAGAGGCTTGACAAACATGCAGGGTACATGTGCATGCGTGCCCAAAATCCCCAGAGAGAATGAAGGAGAAGGGACTGCCTCATAGCCATCACCCTTAGGGGTTGCTTTCTCACTTTCTGTCTGTCTCTCTGGGGCACATGACCCCCATAGTGAAATTAAGACTCTCACTCAACTGTACTGAGAAGATGGTGTCCTAAAAACTCTCAGATTTAAAGGCAATCATCCCTTGGTACTTGACAATGCTTGAATTTTTACCCCTATAAAAAATTTTACTCCTGTAGACTCTATTTCATATGAGTATAGCAGAATTAAAAAGAACTTTGGGCCAGCAGGCAGCACTAAATCACACACGGCAAACTGCATGGTTTGAGTCCTGAACCCAGCAACTTGAAAAACATACTAGGAGGGACCAGCAGTTAGCGTAATGGCTATGTCACTGGACTCCCATGTAGTTGACTGTGGTTCGAGTCCCAGACCCGGTGGCTTAAACTCACGCTGGGGGCATGTGCATGCGTGCCCCAGATCCCAAGAGGAGAATGGAGGAGAAGGGATTGTGGTGTGGCCATCCCCCCTGGGGGGTGATTTCTCGCTTTCTGTCTCTCTGTCTCTCTCTCTGTCTGGCGAGCACATGCGCCCTATAGCGAAAACCTCTCCAAAAAAAAAAAAAAGGAAAAGAAAAACATACTGGAAGTATGTGCAAAAATCTTGAGAGGAGAGGAGAATGGAGGAGAAATTAGATTTCTCACTCTCTCTTCCTCTCTCTCTCTCTCTGTCTCTCTGTTTCTCTCCAGTGAGAACACATACCCTATGGCAAAAATATATATATATAAAAATTTTGAATTTATCAATCCCAATACCTAGATGCTAATTTGAATAGTCCTATTTGCTGGCTACTTGTCTTTAAATAAATAAAAAAATTCTTTGTACTTGAATTTTCTCATCTGTAACATGGTACTAACACAACCATATCTCAGAACTATAGATAATATTAAATTTATTATGAATTCAAATGCTTATAAGTTGTTGAGTGTTCTATGAATTAGTTTTTGCACTATATATGGTTGTATGACTATCTGCTATAAAAGAATTTTGCTATAGGGCGCATGTGCTCACCCGAGACAGAAAGCAAGAAATCCCCCCCAGGGCAGATGGCCATGCCACAATCTTTTCTCCTTTATTTTCCTCTTGGGGTCTTGGACACACCCACCCACACACACACAGCATGAGTTTTAAGCCACTGGGTCCAGGACTCGAACTATAGTAGACTACGTGGGAGTCCAGCAAAGTAACCGCTAAGCCATCTGCTGGTCCCAAATAGATGTTTTTTAAATCAAGCTTTTCTAGTTATTCCTAGCAGTTTTTGTCTCCTACAATCTGCTCTTATATAGTCAGAAGCAAAATCTACATACTTCAAAGCAGTGACGAGGAAAAGATTTTCATAATGAACTACAAACCAAAAATCAGACAATATTATTTTTAAAGTATGAGATGAAGCATACCATAACTATCCGAAAGAAAAAAAAATCAACCAAGGCTGATTTAATAAAGGCAAGGCTTCCTAGACTAGGTGAATTATCAATATATTAAGAATTAAGAAAAAGTACTGGCAAAGAAAAGAAAGCCATTCCTGGCCAATGACACCACATGAGCAAAGGCAGAGATAAATATGTTGCCATCAGGCAGAATGGGAGAGAGTGGGGAATGGTGGGAGGTAATGCTGGGTAGATGAGATGAAAGCAGTTGACAAGAGGGCCTGAGGATAATGTAGAGGCAAATAATTATTTACATCATCCTAAATTCGAGGGGTATGGAAGAAGTGGCATGAAATTATTCTCTAAACTCAATCTGAAGATGATAAAGATGGAGTAGAGCTGAGAGCAAGGCAATCAGTTGCTGATGTTAGGGTCATAACAAAGACATATAATAAGAATGAAAGAACAAGCATGAAGGAAGAAACAAGTCAAACAGAACTGTGGGAAACAGAGAATGAAGTATTCTCTCTGAGGACTAAAATGATGGTAGTAAAGACGGAAATGAAGATGCTAATGAAGACTTGGGTTTTATATAAACTCCTACTTGAGTTATATATACATAGAAATTCTGACAAAAAGGACATGAAAGTAGACTGTGTTGTGGACAGCTGAATAAAGCAGTGGAATTGTTACTGGGACCAGCAAATGCCATGATGGTTAAGTCGCTGGACTCCCACATGGCTGACTGCGGTTCAAGTACTGGACCCGGTAGCTTCAAGCTCACCCCAGACATGTGTGCATACAAACCCAAAATAAGTTTATCAGGGCAATGCAATCAATCTGGCTAGAAGGAAGTCCTTACTAAAAGACTACCTGAAGATGTAAACAGCCATTATAGATGAGGAGGTTAAAGAGGAAATGAGCACTGAGGGATAAGACAAACTTAGAGAACATTCCTTTGAGAGGGTCCAGAAAAAGATACAATAAAAACCAGAACATGTGTGATCCAAGTTCTATGTAAATTTATAAATTTACTCTCAAGTTTTACCTGCTTATTATACTATCCACCAAACTTGTAAATAATCACTGTTAAATACAATTGTCAAAGGATAAATTTTAAGTTAAATTAAGCATACCATTTAGAAGCAGAAAGGTGGAAATATGGGAAATGA